TGGGTCTCACAAGAGCAGAGTAGAGGGGCAGAATCACCTTCCTCAAGGTGCTGACCCAACCTTTTGCGATGCAGCCCAGACATGGTTGATTTTCCGGCATGCAAGAGCACATTGCTGAGTCTTGTTGAGCTTTTTGTCCACAAACATCCCCAGGTCATTTTCCCAGGGCTTGTCTCGATCCCTTCACCACCCAGCCTGTGCTTGTGCTTGGGATCACCCCAGCCCAGGACAAGACCTCACACTTGGCCTTGTTGGACTTCGTGAGGTTGGCAGGGACCCACATCTCAAACCTGACAAGGTCCCTCTGGATGTCCTCCCTTCCTTCCTCAGCCTGTCAACCTCACCACACAGGCTGGTGCAGTTGGCAAACTTGCTGAGGATCTAATAGAATGGGTCAGAAAAGCCTGTCCCTTTATCCAGCACCTATAGGGTTAATTGGATTATTATTGCCTGCCATTCACAGCACTGTAACAAGTGAATTAGAAGTTACTAAGGTAAGTAATGTCTCAGTTTGAAGTCTTGGCTAATTTTTATGAGAATAACACAGGAAATTATCCAATTATTTTGTAAATACATTTGCATTTAAAAAACCTAATTCTCCATGTAAAAACTAAAAATAGTCAATTATAAAATGTCAGATTATTGCAAAAATTAACTCTGTTTTTTATGTGTGTGTGTTTTTATGTGTTTAAGTCTGCTTAGTAGTTTTTGAAAAATGCAATCAACTTTCAATTTGCTTAAACCTGTTGGGTAATAGGAAGACATGAACAGGTGTGCAAGGGCTGTGCTAAATATACTTGATTTTGCAACACTATGAATAACTGGATAAATGACTGAATTCCCTTGCATGTAATACATATTTCTATAAAATACCTTACTGCTTCAGAAATAGAATATGTGTGGTGAAAATACATAGTTGAAATATACATTATCTACAGATGAAGCCATTAAAAAAATATCATAACACAGATAAATCTTTCAGAAGATTATTAGTTGTTCTGTATATCAAAATGTTTATCTTTATTCACCTAAAATAACATTTAAACCAGTTATACCTTGGAAGGAGAGTACATTAGCTGTATGTGAAATGCAAAGTGCTCATCGTCTAAATATAGCATGGGTTCTTATAGACGGTGAAAATTTTTATACAAATTGCCTCTAGATTAAAACACCCTATAAGAGTACTGCTTCCAATGATATTCTTTCTTCCTTTTCATTTCAATTCAGACAACTAGGAGTAGAAATCAGACAATTCTGGCGGTAAAATTTTTGCCTTAGGAAGCTTGAAAAATAAGTGGTTGTGCTCTTTCAAACCACTCATAACCCAAGGCCAGCTACATATGATGCCAAAATGCACTCATGATAAAATCACATTATCATGATGTGATCTCTGCTTTTAATTTCATACACTTTAATCATTATTTGAATAGCTGGCAATGAGGGCCCACACACTTCAATTATGATTTTGTTTCCCATTAAGATGAACCAAGGAATCATTTCTTCCAAGGTCTTAGCTAGGCTGTAGTAAAAAAGCTGAATCATTCTAAGCTTATTTTCTATCATACTGATGATTTTTTTTTTAGCACCATAAGGATCAGAAGTGTAAACTATTTCCCATGAATCTTGAACCTGCAGGAATAAATCTCCTGGCCAGATGAATCAGACTTGGCTCATCTGTTCTTGTGGGACAAACACATGCCTTGCTACACAAAAGAGGCTAATACTCAAATTTCAGTTGGGGAACACTTGCCTCACTTTTGTAAGGAAACAACAACTAGAAGGTTTTGCAGAAAACTAGAAAACTAGACCAAGTAAGTGCATATTGCTGTAATTTGATACTTAAACTGTTTTGATAGAGTCGAGGAGACAGACTTTGGTTCCTGTTGTAAAAATTATTGTAATATTTAGTCCACATTTATTTGATTTTTCTTCCTGTATAACTAGGTTAATTTATATCATGATACCTGTGTTGCCTTTGCAGCACTGCTATTCTTTAACTCATTAAGACAAAGTGAAATTCATTCCATTGAACAGAATGAAGAAGCTTTCCTTTCTTCCTTTATAACAATCAGAATATCTTAGAACTTGAATAGCCTTGGACCACCTGTAACAAAATTCCAGCTACATCTGACAGATTACAGAAATGGCTCAACAAAAAAAAAAATCCAACCTAGGTAGTACTTATTTCTGAGGAGGAACAGTGAAATTAAGGCTAATAATAAGTTTTTAATCCTGCTTCTCATCTCAGATAAAGATGTAAAGTTCCTTTCCCAGAGCTTCCTCCTCAGAAGTTTCTGAAGGATCTCAAAATCTTTTGAGAAAAAATGTGCTGCTATTCCTCATCTGACCTTTAGAAGACAGAATCATCATCACACAATTTTTGTGCCAAATTACACTGTTGATAAACCAGGACAACTTTGAAGAACATTGAGATAACATGGATGTGTTACAGCAATCTAAACCTAGAAACAAAAATTACCCGAAATATCAGATTTTGTTGAGCTGCTAATTTTCTGTTTTTACTCATTTCCATGGTCTTAATATCTTCTGCAAAATTTTAATAAAATGGTATAGGGACATATGTTCTCAATTGGCTTTGGTTTCAGTGTCTTCTGCAAGATTGCCTCAATTTGTGGTTAAGATTTTGGAAGCAAGTTCATGTGTGAAATCACCAAGTTTTTGACATGGGATAGTTCACAATACCTTATGTGTCTCTGTGTGGAGCATGGAAACAGAGGGAGTTCAGAAGCTGGAAGCAATAACAATCAGACAATGACCAGGACCTCTCTTCAGAGCATCACATTGACCAGGACAAGAGAGTCACAACTAAGAAAATATCCACTCTGTCTTCTGGATTGGCGGAATTGTAATAATTTCTATTAACTTTTGTAACTTCCTGTCTTCCAAAATGACATGATGAAGGTATGACTTCTTTCTGCTTATTCCTAAGTGGTTACTGCAGTTCTACAATGGAGGGAGGTCCTGTGATTAACAGGAAACGGTACTTTTAGAAATGCAAACTGTCATTTAAATTCACATATCACTTCCATCCATGTAACAAGTAACTGTAATAACATGTATCCAATATATTTTGCTAGGATTTACTTTCCTGATTGTATTTGTATGTTTAGTTTGTCAAAATACTAAAGGAGTCAGTTTGCATGTGAATTTGAGTCAACTTAATATGAAATGTACATGGAAGTGAAGTGTTGGAACCCTGGACACAGAGAATTTCATGCTTTCTGTGATGATAGGCAGAGACCCACAAGAGAACCATGTATTTGACCTGAGGCCATGGAAAAGGCTTCAAAATTGATAGAACTGAAACTGTTAGTGTATAGTTTGAATAGAAGTGTGTTATATCACTTGGTGGAAAATTTTGACTTTAAGGTTTTAGAATATAGTAATATATATGTAACAAGATTGAGGTTTTAGGGCATTAGCTTGCCTTGTTCTTTCACTTCTTCTTCTTGGGCTTTGGATGATATTGTGTGATTGGACAGAAAAATCCACACTGTGGAACATGGGTGCTTGGTTACTGGGTTATAAGTAAAAATAAATTAGTTGGCATTTTATAATTAGGTAGTTGACACTTAAAAGGCTTTGGTGAAAGATACCTGAGGCTCCATTTTTCTGGACTGTTAGCTTAGTGTGTAGACAAACTCACTGTCTGTGAGAATGTATTATAGATAAAAAACCATAAAAAACAGCTGAGTCCAAACATGAAAACCATCTCTCTCGCTCATTAATCCCAACCTTGAGGAAAAGAACGCAGAGACATTCGGCAGTGAAGCTTAAACTGCTGGAATTTGGTCAAGTTTGAGAAGAAGCTGTGAGCCTAGGAGTCTCAATTTGTGGATAGCACAGGATCAGAACAATGCTCTAAGGTCCTGTGGATCATGTGCAGTGATGAGCATGGAAAAAAGCACTTAATGTGGGTTATATCTGTGATGTCAAAACAGAAGGAAATTCTAATGTGAATGGAAGCAGAACTTCAGCAATGTCAAAACATCAGTGCTTATGTGAACGAAGAACCTGACAAATTAGGCAGCAGCTGAAAAAATCGCTTTAAAGATATTTTGTGGACTTAACATCAAAAGTAGAAATTAGTCTGATGTCAGGGCTTATTGCTAATATAAAACAATCTTTTCTCCTGTTGGTGAAGCAGAACTCCCCCAAGCTCCACCAAACTCAAGTCAAGTTTTTGTTTACCATTGACCAAGATGGTCTGAGTAGCTTACCTCTTCTAACAAGAAAGGTGAAACTAAGGATAGCCAATCTGGGAAAAAAAAAACCCAAAACAACTCACTCTATAAAAAATGGTATAAGATAACTGCTTTATTTTTAGTTTGAAGCAGAGGTGTTTTTATTGTACCTGCCAGTGTACAATAGGAAAACATCTGTAGGGAGTAAACCATAAAGTGTAAGCTGTAGAAACTTTTCAGGCTCTTCAGTTTGAAGGACCACGAAAGAAACTTGAATACCAAATAACCTTCCTGTTTTCCAAAGTATTGAACATTTCATAAAAGGATGACTGCTCTTAAGGAAAAAGGATTACAAAACCAATGAGGTGCTGTTATAAAAATCTATACAATATACTTGTGAAAGTGCAGCTCATTATGGAGTATGACAGATAATTCTTCAGTAAAAAGGCACTGCTGTATACACTGTAATGATATATGGATTGCATAGCCAAATTTAATGTGAGATGAATTCTTCCAACAAATAAAGTGATATATGGATTGCATAGCCAAATTTAATGTGAGATGAATTCTTCCAACAAATAAAGTGTGCACTTTGCTCTTTCTTCCATGAAAAGTTCTGTAAAAAGGAGGTATTAATTCAAGGTGTTTGCATGGCTGTGGCTTTAAATGCTGAACTTTGTACATAATATGAAACAGTTAAATCCCTTCCCATCCTGATTGCTTGAAGAAAACATCTACTTGTCCTTCTCAGCAAATGTTTTATCAGGCTAAGTTCTTTTTCACAGTACATTATGTATCTCTATATTTGAGAGGAATCTATGAAAGAATGAGAAAAGTGATGTAAGAGGAAATTCCAGACTTACAGAAATAGAGACCAATAAATGGATGGCTTATTTTACAAAACATACAAATAATGTCACTGTTTTCCATTTTTTAAATTATTATTTAGTCTTGATACATATATTCTATATACTCAGAACTTAGGCTTGAACCATAAACTACAGTTTATATAAACTAGGCTGAAGTGTAAATGCACAATTTTACTGAAATTTGTCAACTAAATGTTTTAAAGTGCACACTGTTTAATGTAATACACTTAGGAAGCTAAAGAATTTATACAGGATTAATGTACTCCATTAACTATAACTAAATTAGCTGCAGCTATTTTGGTGGTAAATATAATATCAAACCCAATTTTTGTTTACTATTGGAAAGACGATATTGAGTTTCTTATGAAATAGGACTCATAAAAAAGTAGCTCAATAGAACATTTGGCCAGGTTCTCACATAAACAAATAGAAAACTCCAAACAAAGTAATGAAATTATGTTTTATGAATCTTCTGAAATAAGCAGAAAAACAAACAGAGGTTAATCAGTCTAGAAATGCCATAAGTAGATTTCTACTCTTTGAAGGCTTCAGGTTTTTCTCACATTCCAGTTACAGGAAGAAAACTACTTTTTGTGGCTTTCTGCAAGTCTAAACTACCAATATATAAATATCTCTATATCAGTTCCATCAATCATTATGCAACACAAAATAATAGGTTTAAAACTATAAAACAGCATGCCACGAAAAGTTTTTCCTTGGAAAGTGAAACAATTTCTTGAAATATTTCTCCTGGATTCAAGGTCATAAATTAACCAGACATACTCATACTGTCTGCTGGTTAATCATAAAGTTCATTCCCTAGTTTTTGGCAATTTTAATTTATTCTGTAGTGCAAAAAGGCAGTTTCTTCTGGAGGGTTTCAGACATGTAGGAGAGCATCTGTTTTACTGTGAATGCAGATAAAACTGAAATGTAAAGAATATATTAAATAAATGTAATGAATCTGAAATATAAATTATAAGAAAATATAGGAAAACTGTCATTTATTAATTTTAATTTTACCTGCCAGGACAGAAGTAACAATCTCAAGAACATTTGTGAAAATACATAAAAGAACAGCATAACTTCATCCATTTGCCAGAAATATATTTTTATAATACTCACTTTTCCAGGTCTCTGAAAAGAAATCATAAGAATAACTGTCAGATTTACCCAGGGAATAATATTTTTTTTTTTCTCTTTGTTTTCTTTTTTCAACTTACACCAAATTTCCTAGTCCTCTTGCCTGTGGTCATTTCACTCACAGGAGCACTGCTGACATCCGTGAAGTTCAAAATACTGAATGAATAGCAGAGGCTGGTATGGACTCACCATAAAGTCCCATTCCCCACCCATCCTGCCAGTCATGGGACAGGTAGAAAAGTCAGGAGTGAAGTTGGGCCTGGGAAGCAGCAAGTGGTGGAATGAAGCTGGTTTTCTGTTTCTTACCATTCTACTTTGGCTTTGTTTGGCAATAAGCTACACTAATTTCCCCCAGCTGAGTCTGCTTTTCCCTTCACAATAATTGATAGGTGATCTTTATCTTGGCCCACAGGCTTTTTAATCTCATCTTTTCCCTTTGTTCTGTTGAGGAGAAGGAGTAAGGGAGCAGCTGGGTGGGAAAACCAAGCTTAACCCAGAACTAAAACAAAGGACAATTCTCAGATAAAGAAGGTGCAGAGGCACAAGAGAATGGGCACAAGAGGATCTGCTAGCAGGAATAAAGCTCCCAGACAGCCAAAGAGCACTTCAGGGCAGAATGCCAATGGTCTTAATGATATAGCCAATGCAAACACAATGGGAGACACCTGGATTTGAGGCTGGTTGGAAGAAAAAAAAATGAAAGTTATGTTGCAGTTGGAGAAATTAATCCAACACTTAAGGCAGGGCCATTTTTTCTCACCATCTGTGTTCCTAGTTTTCCCATTAGCTGCATCTTGGAAACTTGTGTGGCTCCCCAACCTTACTGCTTCCCTAAACTCCACTATCAGTCTCAAACTGGTGTCAGATTCCTTCCAAACTCTCTTCCCTCATCTTCTTCCATGAGTTTTTCTCCTACTGCAAATTTTCTTGTTATCTACTCCAGAGATACTATACTCCAGCTTCAGCTATTTTGATCTCATACCTCAAGGCAGGGAGGGTTAATTCAATTTTGAATTACTGCTGCCAACCTTTAATTTCTTAATAGTGTGGTACATACAGCTCATTCTGAGATTCCTTAGAACAGTATTGTACTTTAAAAGCTTATTGAATTTGCAGAAAATATTAATAGGCTACAATAACCAGTATCTATACTTAGCTGCTGCAGAGGAGCCTTGTCCACGTTTCCTGATAAAATGTGACTATGTTATTGCAAAAAATACAATTGCTGGAGTTGTTGTATGGTTTAAATCAGTCAGTCATGAGCATAAATGTCTGCATTATCCTAGAAGTGCAATTTTTCAATTTGTACTGTGAGATATTCTATTGTTCCTTCTCAATCCTGTGAATGATTTATGCCATTCTGCAGACCCATAATAGATCAGATGTGCCTTGGCACCCTCCTGTCTTAGTAGGCATCATCCTGTACATACCAATGTTAGCAATGCAGCAAGCAGATTTTTACTGTGTGCAGAACTGCTGCAGTCTGGAATTCAAAAATCTATTAAGGGAAAATAATCTGGGTTATAGAGTCAACTTGTACTTTAGATGATGCAAATATACAATACACTATTTACAGCTTTGTGCTCTTGGTACTATATTTCAATACAGAAGACAAATATTCCCATTAAGTCCCCCTAAGGGAGATGTACACAAAGGAAAATTTAAAATGAAAGGGTGAACAGTCGTGTTTGACTCTGAAAAGTTGTGTGTGAGTAATAGTTTTTGAAGGCACATGGAATGCTGTTCCATGTTATGTTATGGTTTCTTACGTAAGGAGGGATTTTCCCCTGTTAAGGGACCACTGATACTAGTGAGATCCTGTTTTTCTGGTGAGCTTGTGGAGTTAAGTTTTTAACAAAATCCAGATATCCTTCTATGTATAAGCATGTGTATGTTGTGTAACAAACACAATGAATTAATAGAAATATTTATTAGAGTAATGACCAACATTAATTTCAATGTCCCTATCAAGCTTAAGATGTTGAGAACATTTTCCTACTCATTCTGGACCACTGAACAGGATTTAAAGTCCAGCTTCAGCCATTAGTTTTGGACAATTGCTACCCATCAAAAGCGTTTTTGAATTCATGGTAGGGGAACAAATCCTTTGGTCAACAGAAAAAAGAAAAAAAAATAGGAAAAGTAAAAGTATCCTAATGTCATTGTTTTTGATTATCATTTGTCAGTCAACAAAAAAATAATTCTCATTGTTGCATATTTAAAATTACAGACAGTGTAGCAGAAGGTAGATTCTTCTCCAGAGGTGCCAGTATACTACTCTCAGACTGTATCTTGTATGTGGTCACTACTGGAATATGTCATCTGGAGTCAGGAATCATAAAGAAACAAATACAAAACAGCATAAATGTGCTATAGCATATGTTAATATAAAGCATGTTCATGTCTCATTTATGCTTTTAATTTGTGTCATAACTATCTTTTGACTTAATATTATTCTTTTCTTCTGCAGGGATCTTAATCACGCTGTATCTCTTGTACTAATCACTATTATGACAGAGGGGAGAGGGAATTAAATGAGTTTTAAGAAATTTCCTGCCTTATTAATTCTACCAGTGGAAGAACATTCCCTCTGTCAGATTCTCCTCAGTTAATACCCTCTTCTCTTCACCATCTAAGCCTGAAGATTCTTACTTAATTAATAATTTTTGATTCCATAGGTTTCCTGATGGATTTGGGGTCCCAGACAGCTGGCCTAAGGCAGCTTTGGTAGTGTGAGTGGTTAATTCCCCTCATGCCCAGCACCTTGCTCCCTGCCTTCCTTATATTCATCCTGGCTCCTTCACTCTCAGCTGGGGAAATCCCAGAGGGAGGGTGGGTTAGCATCTAACTTCTATTAGTGGGGATAGTAATGAAATCTTTGTACAAGGCAACAGTCCCAGGCTCCAGCTGATCTGCAGGCAGACCCAGCTGGAGCTGAACCTGCCTTTGGCTGCGGTCTGTCAGCAGCCAGGCTGCTCCCTGTAGGAGCCATCTCCAGTGGGCATTGACTTCAGCATCACTGGTGTGACACCAACAATCATCTCAAACCTGGGGAAGGGATCAGCAAAATATGCACCTCGAATAGAAGGTGAGTTACATTCTGGACAGATTTTCCTAAAATACCCTTGCCTCATTCTCAGAGAGAGGCTGCTGCCTTTGTCTCCTGGACCACGTGGTGGCCATGGTTTCCTCAGATGGCCTCTTTCAGATACTTGTTATTAATCATGTTGGAGTTTTTTTTCACATGAATTCTAAAGAAACTGAGCAAATGTTATTACCTTAGTTTTTAAAAGCATTGTATTTCTCTGCAGCAAACAGTTTGAGTAGTTTTTCCAAATAGTTCGAGATTTACTCAAATGAGAGCTTTAATTTAGAGAGGTTGCTTCAGGCACTGGGAATTAATATAATCACTTTTCAGTCCTTTAAGTTACACCTTCATAGAAAGCCATCAGTTTTACAAGGCTGAAGAGATTGTGCTATTGTCAGATTAAATTAACTCTACATTTAAATTCACAACAGTCCCTGATAAAAAAAAAAATAAAAAAATTCTTATCAGGGATATATGAAAAAAGCCCCAAGATTGCAATTGTCTGGAAATTGCAGAACTCACATTTTAAAACTTGTACTTTAACAAAACAATTGAAAGGAAAACACTTTTAAATGCCCACATTTATTTTTGTAGGCATTTCTTTGGGATTATCAAATAGAAGTAACCTTGGAATTGGAATAATTTTAAAAGCAATTCAGCACAAGTATTTGCTCTTGTTTCCCACTCAAAAGGATGCTAGGAAAATAAGAAAATAACTTCTTTTTGAGTTGAGGATCATAAGGCTGTGTAACAAATGATGCTCCTAGCATCTCACAGCAGTAGCTGAGACAGACTATCATCTTCCTCACTTATAATTTTCTCTGATGGTTTGAGATAGTGCTTTGGCAAAGTGCTGTTGCCAGCATTGAATGATAATATCTGTCATCATTTGAGAGGGCAATAACAACAAAAATGGTACAAGTTTGAAGGTTTTGGAAGACAAATACATAGTTTTTAACCTGCAACATGCTTGAGAGGGATCAGAGATCTGGTTCCTTAGAATTCATTGCCAGGTTGGAACAGAGTAAGAAGACCTGTATCCTGAGTTCTCTCTCAGCATGAAACTGAAAGATGAAGTTTTAAACTGCTTTATATTACCACAATATAGTGTAAAATATAGACCAGAAAAAAAAATAACCTGTCAAAACCCCCAAACCTGTACCAAAGATTAATAATTTTGTCTGAAAAATACAGTGAAAGTTTTTAAAAATCTGTCTACATTTCTAACACAGTAGAAAGACATTAATGGGTGAGGCAGACCCAAGGAAAGTACCATACACGGGCCTGTTACTAGTAGGGTTGTTGTTGTAGATGGCTTCCCTTGCTGGATTTTAGATTGTCTTAAAGCAATACAGGCAGACTGTGGGCATGGCACTGCTCTAGCAGCATAAATCATATTACTGTGTTACGATCTGGTTATTGAAACCGTTAAAAAGCTTCCTCTGCCAAAATTAAGGTGCAAAGGAGACCATATGCCAAAGTCAATAGTATGGATTTTATTTAACATTAAATGTGAGGGAGAGAGAGAGAGAGAAATAGGAAAAGGTGGGAGGAGAGAAAGAGTAACAGAGAGAGACAGATGAAGTAGAAATTATTACCACTCCATAAGTCCCAACAGCCTCCTGTTGGTCCTCTTCTGGTCTTGGTGATGAGGTCCCAAAACAGAGTTTAATGAATTACTATATACTTGGGCCCACAATTACAGCAAAATAGAAGATTGCTGCCCTACTGTAAGCAGATTTGTTAAGATCTGGCTAAACCAATAAAAGTTTTGGAGGATCTCCTCTGAGTATGAACCAGGCAGTTCTTGAAGAAAAGGAAACTTTAATATTCTATGCCACATTTTTCAAAGGGAGAAAGGAAGATGCTTCCCTTTAATAATATATTTTTTTTTTTTATTCTGAGGAGACAGTAGTGTTATGTTATAATTCTTTGTTTTACAATCATTGCTTCAAATTCTATATTCTCTTTTTCACATGCAATGATAAAACTGAGAATTTTACAAAATTATTACATCTAAGTCAAACTGTAGATAGCAGAATTGCCCTCAAGATGAATTCCACCTTTGGAAAAGCAAAGAGATATAGATAAGTCAAAAATGCTTTAAGTCATTTTTTACTGTTAAAACCCTTGTCTGTATTTTTTTTACAATCCTACTTGTAGTACTTGAACATTGATAGATGATTAATCTCCATATGGGGTAAACTTCA